ATAGTTTTGCATGCAATTACACGGTCCTAAGGGTACCAAGCGCAATCGCGTCATCCTCTTCGAAGCATCATCACATATGACCAACATTTCATCATCATCACCATCATGGCCATCGTCTTCAGAGTTTGTGGGTTTTTATTCTCCTTGTCTAACTCGATTTGCTGCCAAATCATTTGCATCCTGAACAACTTGCCAGATTGTGAGCTATGTTTCTGTCTTTCAACTATTTCACACACACACACACAGATATCTACCCAGAACCGGTCGACAAAGTTGTACATATCAATGAACATTATGTGACCATCTACTGGGATGTGCGATATTCCTCACGCTATTTTCCATTGAGTCTCGCCTTTGCTTGCTCTGTCTTGACCTAGCAGATGCTGGTTGAGAGAAATTCGAAACTTGACCAAGCCTGGCTGGAAGATGTTAGTCACATCAGTTCTGTTACGTTCTTGTAGTTTGGTTTCCGCCGGAATTCTGTTTAGTACGTCATCCCAGTCATCTGGTGATGTGGCTGAGAGAACCACCGAAATGGATACTCTTATCTATGGGATTTGAATAACTCCCTCTGTTCCCTTCTTTTTGTATTTTTTTTTAATTTTTAGAAACTTCATTTCCCGAAAACTGGTTCGCGNTGCGGGAGGGGGGCGGGGTTATAGAATAGCCAGCAAAAGATCGCGCGTGAACACGATGTAGCTCAAGAAATTTCTTGATCATTGTCAAACATATTTACACCTTATTCGATCCTAGGACTGGTTTGTCCCTCTGCCGCAACCACTACCACCATCACCTTGTACCGCATTCTATCCATGCATTCATTGTTGTTGTTCCTCGGTTGCATTAGATAGACATCAGGTGACTGAATCCAACCACATGCTCCGCATTTCCACCCTAGTTTTCTTTGTGATCTTTCAATCTTTTCTCGTGCACCTGTATATCGCGTACACCGTTCTCACACTCGCATAACACAAGCGCGTTTCGACTTTGTGCGCGGTCATATTCTCGCGCCCATACTGATGATGCTGACGATAGTTTTGCATGACTTGGTCGCGCTGCACTCACAATTACGTACCGTTCGTTTTGCTCGGTTTCCTCAGCAACAAGAACAACAACAACAAACAATGTCCGATTCCATATTTCTCAATCTCATAGAATTTGTTCGTTTTGTTGTTGTTGTTATTGTTGTTGTATACTCGACTACTTCTTTCATCTCTCAGTGTAATGTCTCATTCGTGAGCCATTGCAAATATATCGTAAACATTTCTCGTATACGGAGCACAACGGATGTAAAGTGAAAAAGTGAGGATGGAATTAATGTCTGTTTCCAACTTCGGTCGGTTTCCAATGGTTCTGACCGCATTTTTACCCCCGATTGGCTTGGGTTAACAGGATCCCGGTTTGCTAATCACAATTGACTTGACCAGGTATCATCCAGTCAGATCACGGACAATCTGGCCCCAAATGAACGCTCGCCGTTATACTTCGTTAAAGTTAACAATTATCGCCTAGCTTTGTGGTTCGTCCTCCTGTCGTTTTGTGATTCGAACTCTGCCACCATGTCCCGGTTGTGTCTGCGTTCACCGGAAGCTCTCGGTATGTAGGTAACCCATTCCACCTCACCCAGCGCGTGAGCACATCCACAGGCACAGAAGTAGGCCAACAGACTGGACCATGGCAAGTTTGTGCATCACATGCAATTGGGTTGTGTTCAACACGAGCAGTCAAGACGTTGGCGAATCAGTCAGTACAGACAGTTGAATACTGTAGTCTGACTAGCTGAAGTCAGTCGATCGGAGGATACTCTACATCAGTGTGACATCTATCTATAATGACACGGGCACGTGCAGCCAACACTTCATTCAATCTATGAACCACAAGAGAACCTTTAAATTGATTGCTGCCCTCTCTTCTTATTACAGAGTGTAAATTTATTTTTACTAAATAAGGACAAAAGAGAGTATTATTTGGGTTATTGTTATCAAGTTTTATATGCTACTATTTGAGATCACGAATTAGTTCTTCAAATCAGTCACCGAATTCGTACCGTTGGTGATAGTATCCGACGATTTTATATCAGCTGCGAACCGCTGTTTTTCGATATATGTGTACCATTGCCCCGTTCTTTAAGAAATAATATGAATTAATTAATTTACCGTTGTTTAGATGATCATCCAGTTGTGTACGCGACTTTGGACACTCAGATTTCCGTACGGTGGGGAGTACACTTGTTCGGTTTCACCCCGGGGTAATAAGCGTTCGCTTTTCAACACCAATTCAGTATTCTTCGTCCATGTTTCGTATCGATTAGCGGGAGATGACTTATCGGTATAGTTATGTCAGCAGACCGTTTTGTGTTACACTGATAGAGTCCAATGTTCTAGTCATCATTAGTTCTTATTATTATTATTATTATTATTATTATGTTTCATGCTCACATTATTCTTCTGTTTGTTTTTCTCCATCTTTTGTCCCATGCATCTACAGTTCATGTCCGCGTTGAAAACCGGAAAAATCGCACACAGTCCGTTAAAACGTGTGTTCAGTGGCACAGCCATTCCCGTGCATCGCAGCGGAGGTGGTGTTTAGTTCTACTGGTCTTGTACCACCCTATCCCTCGTTCCACTCCAGTCCACTCTGTCCACTGTGTATCCACTATGTCGGGTGCCTATCCCTCGTCAATTTCCTTTTTATCACACTACGGATGCACTTGTGTT